TTGAGAAATTAGATGAAAATTGATAGAAATGATGATTTGCGCAATTTAAGATGTATTAATTGTGCAAAATATTTTTTAAAAAAATGAAAAGTAAGAACGTATTTCGTAATAATAGTGAAAGGTAGGAACAATATGTGCTAATAATCCTTTTAATCATTTATTTGGGATTCATTTGCATTTTTTTAAATTTGGGACTATGGTTGCAATTAATTTTTCATTTCATTTTTGTTTTATTTAAAGAGAATGATATATTCATCATTCCACAATTTAATTGAGAAAATTGATGAAAATGACATTTTGGGCTATGAAATGTGAAAAAAGTGAATGACAAAAAAAAAATGAAAGATAAGAACATTTTTACAATAATAATAAAAGGTGGGGACGTTATGTGTTAATTTCCCATCTAATTAACATGGCTATTCACTATTTCTCCCATTTGTGTGGTTCAATTCGATGGAAACTGATAATATGAAGCACATATATAATATTATGATTTGATCTGATTATTTTTCAGACATTTGCCCTATATAATCTTTCTTGTCAAGGGGCCATTCTCCTTTAAATGAAAAATAATTTTTCTTTCTTGAGGTGACTCCAATACATAAAGCCCTGACATGGTTATGTTTTGTCAAGATTCAATAATAAACTTATTTTTAGTTTGATTAAAAGAAAGGTACTATTAAAATTCCTTTGAGTAATAAGAATCAAATAAATTTTTCATGTAAATAGTATAATTCAGTCGAGTCCTACTTCATTGGGATATTGAGCCTTATAATTTAATAAATCTCAAATATATTGAGCATCAAGGACTGTATATGACCCAAATGATTCATGAGAAGTAGGTTCTAAATAGAGTTAGAGTGATTACATGGCATATTCGGTACCTATGTAGTACTCAATGTTTTAACGTATAGGACCTCATGAGTTTATTGTAACACTTATCTGGACTTTTAAACTTGACTATTTATTGATTAATTGAGAGGATAATTATTTAATGTTGTATAAATATGTTAGTTGTAGGTAAAACCTTGACTTCAAGGCAATTGAGGTGAAGGAGATGAAATTGGAGCTTAAGTGGAGTTGATTCAGAATAATTAAAGATCAACCAGATCGCACATGAGCAAGTGAAAGAACTAAGATAGCAATCAAAGGAGATTGGGAGTTAATTAAATTCGTCATTGAAAAGTTCAAAAATTCAATTACGAACTATCATAACTTGCATCACATCAATTATGGATGATTGAAAAATGTGAAGCATTAAATTATGAAAAAATAAAGATGAAGGACCAAAGAAGCAAATAAAAATAGACTCTGGGCTGAATAAAAGAGAAAATTTAGGGACCAAAGTGTAACAAGGAAAACCCTTGCAATCTCGCAAAGGCTTAATTATGAACACGTAGACTCAAAAGGGAGCCTGGGCAATCATGATCGCATACTATTTCAACGAGAAAAACTTGGTTTCCTAATTTGAATCAACCTCTTCTTTAAAAGCAATGGGGCACAAATTTTGACATATTAACATCCCGAAAATACTTTCTAATATAAAACAATTTTAAATAGTGGATTATTATAGAGCAATGATTTATAACATAAACTATTATAGATGTGGACTGATCGACTCACTTAATTACATTAATTGCTTTAGACTCTTTTCTTTCTTTATTTACTTCAATCATGCCTCCTCAGGTTCTTCGTAGCTGTAAATAAATCCAAAATTCAAATCTTTTTGCGCTGTTGTACAAAATAAACTTACGTGCCTTCGATGCGCTAAACGAGATAGGATTAACAAAGAAATAATCATAAGAGAAAACTATACCTTTTTCTCAATGATTTAGAATCGGCTACATTGAGTTCTTTTCACCACTTTGTTCGATTCATTGAAGATCTATTAATACGACTAACAGAATATAGAAGCTAAAATCTTGTTGATTGTACTAGTCTGAAATATAAAGTTGCAATACAGCCTTTGGTGTTTTGAAAATATATTTGGCAGCTTTCTTTCTATGGTTCACCTAGTGGATGATTTCGACTTTCCAATGATGAATCCATCTGGTGTTGACTTGTGTCCCATGTCACACAGTCACAGGTTTGGGCAGTGATAATTTGTGATATTAGCTCAAACCTACCAAACTTATTTAAGTGCATTTAGCACCAAAAATTGATTGTGGAAATGCCCAAGGATTCCATACAGTGCTTCAGTGTGTGTGATTGCATAAAAATGATCAGTTTTGAAGCGCTAAGATAAACTAGGTCGACTGCGTATATTGTTCGCTTGAAAATATACCGCAAGTGCACGGGTCGCGTTCAAGTAATAAAGTGGACTTTTTGAGTCCAAGTTGTCGATCCCTCGAGGAATGCTTACTTTCGCTTACACAATTTTAGTCAATTTAATTTTAACAATAATAACAAACACACAATAAATTTTGATTTTGAAAATTAAGGAAAATTAACTAAAATCTATAAAATAAGAAAACATGAACACTTCGAAATTTTGAAAGAAAAAAGTGGTTGAGATTCATGGTTTCGCTTAACCGTCACCTAATTAATTTCTCCACAAGCCAATTAACAAATTACTCATTTACGATGTTAGACCCGATTTTTCAATTTTATTTAATTACCAATCTCGAGCGAAATTAACCCTAATTAATTGGTTTAATCTACTATATCTCTGTGTCGATTAAAATCAAATAATCGCATTAAATTTTAGTGAAAATAGTTCAATGGATCACCTAGGGTTATGAGTATATTT